ATTACTCGCCCATAGAATTTTCGAAAGTTCCCCTCGGTTTCCCTAGGATCCCATCATCAGATCCTGACCTCATGGAAATGGGACCATCTCGGGAGTATACCCTTTCAAACAAAACAAGAATTTTGGAAATCGGTTCACAAATGGCGGAGTACTGCGCGAACAAACAAAAAAAAAAAAAAAACAATCAGCCGAACATAGTACCTCCTCCTTTTTTTGAAGTCGGTAAAAATTTAATTCATATCAATTTTGTTCCAATGCATTAATTTAGATGGAAACTCTTAATGTTACTGGATTGTAGTTTGAGCATAGCATTGTTTTTTTAATCACGCTATTGACAATCAGTGAGAGGTAATTGAAAAGATTAGATTAGACTATGACTTGGGGCATAGACTCTACAAAGTCTTTATAACATGATCATAGCACTTGCTATATATACCTACATAACCACTGAAAACTATATCTCGTTAATCTATACCATCTATACTAGTATAAAAGGAAATTTTGTTTATTTGTATGTATGCATATTTGTAATGTAAATAAAGAAAACTGAAGCAATTTCTAAATCCTTTCACTATTAGTAGACTGCATCTTTGAATGAATATTTATCTTATATTCATATAGATGAAATATAGTATAGTTTAATATAGTCCTATGACTATATTGCATCGTAAAAAACTAAGTTATTATTCCATGCAGTTGCTGGTTGTAACCAGCGACTATATAGATACACTCACAGATAGTTACTTACAAAATATGAATATTTAAATAAGTACCTACATTATGTATGTTTTATAGGTTTTCTGAATAAGTATGATGTTAGTACAATATGACTATGACCTACTCTTTGAAATATTTATTCAGTTTGTCTGACTTATGCACTTCATGTGCAAATCTTCCTATTGTTAAAATAACAACCAAAGATTCACTTAAAGATTATATTGAATTGACAGAAGTATTTCTTGTTGCATTCAATAAAATAAACTCAATGTAAATCAACTTAAAACATACATATATATCATACTGAAAATTTGTTCATACAAAAGTAGTCTCTAAACATCGAAAATAAGGTCTATAATGACGTTAATAGAGTGACCGCTTTGGGATTTAGCAGTTAATTACATACTTTAAATAATTAATGCAATGAAGTTTAGTACCTACCAATAAATACCTTGTGTAATTTATTTAAAAGCAACTATTTTTAAAGGGTATGTTTTACTGCAGGATATAATAGCCAATTATCAGATAGTTATTTAATTGTCATTGTCAATACCTAGTGAGAAGGTTGTAAAGTCACATAGAGTACAATTTTGATTATGTAAAATACTAATGTAAGCTATGCAATTAGCCAATATGCCATTTAGCCATTTACTAATAAGCAACGAGGCGCTAGGCGGGCATTGCTTTGCTATTGCGATATTTAAATGCTAATCTTTAGTTTAACCTTGCCTAAACATGCTGGCGTATATCAAATACCTGTATGTTCAATGTCAATTGGTAATTGGTGGGGTTGATGAGTTTCAACAACAAAACGCTAAAGAGTATTTGTTTACTAATTTCCAGTGTTGCTGCCTGGTACAAAAGCATGGAGGGAGCTCCGAGGATTCTTTGGAGACGAAGTACTCTTCTCTGATGGTAATGTGAACAGAGCTAGACTAGGGGAGATTGTATTTGACGATATTGAAAAGAGAAGAAAGCTAAATGCCATCACACACCCTAGAATACAAAGAGCAATGATGAAAATGGCTATTTCATACTTCTTCTCGGGCCATAGTTATATTGTTATGGAAGTCCCGCTGTTATTTGAGACTGGGAAGATGTTGACCTTCATGCACAAAATTATAACTGTTGTTTGGTGAGTTTACATTTGTACAAAGTCAAACTATGGTATTATAGGCAAAATTATATTTTGCCTAGGGTATACCAATACCATAATAGTTTTCATCAGTTATGTTATTAAAATAAATTCATATTTTGTAAATTATGTTGCTGTTGTAAGCTCAGTTAAACGTCTGGTTATGCTAAATGGGTTTAAAATCCTAATAGAATTGTTGTAAATTCCAGTGAAGATCACCAGCAACTGGAAAGGCTGTGCAAACGCAACGACTTCTCGGAAAATGTTGCTAAGAAACGTATATCTTGTCAGATGCCTCTTGAAGAGAAGGTGGCGAAGTCCCACTTCGTAATAGATAACTCTGGAAGCTTCGAGAACACTAGGCAACAAACGGAATGCATAATTAGATTGCTCAAGAGGTCTAAGTTTACTTGGTGAGTTTTTGCGTATATTATTTCAGGTACACTGTACTTTTAAATATTTCTGTGTAATATTGTCACATCTAATAACTGAAGAGCTGCTGTTTTTAAGTGATAAAATCATTTAATGTCTTCTTCCGCCTTGGGGTTTTCAGACTCTTACTCACTAAAAGCCACTCCATTCCTAGTCCTGCTCTTCGAGCTGGAGTCCCGGCAACCCGTTAGGCCTTCCGCGGCTCCTTATCAGGCATCAGCCCTACTAGGCTCCATCTGTGGTGGTCTGATGGCTCTTTGAGGCGCGCGCGGATCGCAACGGACTTTCTCCCGTGACGGCTGGGGCGTGAGAAGGTTCGTTCCCGTACGCGCTCCGCCTCCTCCTTGACAAGCATAACTGGTTCGCAGAAGGAGGAAACGGCATCCCAGTCCCTCTCGCTCCGCACCATGGCCTGAAACAGAGCCGGACCGAGAGGTCCTCGTCGTCGACTACAATTCACCGAAGAGTTTTTTTTTTTTTAAGGGGGGAAAATCATCGAATGACTGCTCCCGCCTGGGTGAGGCGGGAGGGAGTGTCAGACTCTTACTGACTAAAAACCACCCCGTTCCTTCTCCTGCACGTCGAGCCGGAGCCCCGGTTACCCGTTAGGTTCTCCGCGACTCACCGAAGAGCTTACCTTTGCAATACATACTCTTTACCAGAGCTGTTTTATGATGTCCTTGTAACACGGGTGAGATCCTAGGAGACCTATCCAATAACAGGCCACTGAGCTCTTCGGCCCTTGGCTAGCCACTTAATGGATGTTGTTACTATATCAAGCTGGAAGGCGCCATACACTTAGTTTGCCTTGACCTCAACGTCTCCAACAGTCATCGAATCTCCGAATCCCATCCTGCTTTGAGTGTATACCGTCGGCATTGGTTCTATTTCCGATTCTCGCCCAAATTTCTATTGTTAAACAATGATATATTTAAATGATAGTTGTTACATGACTTAATATACGCTACTTCTGCGCAGTTTCACCTGCTCTGCTTGGCTCATATTGATCGTAGCATGATGTTTTATTACCGACTTAAAAAAAAAGGAGCAGGTATTTGTTTGTATTCGGCTGAATGTTTTTTTTTGTTTCTTCGCCTATTACTCCGCCATTTGTGAACCGATTTCCAAAATTCTTGTTTTGTTTGAAAGGGTATACTCCCGAGATGGTCTCATTTCCATGAGGTCAGAATCTGATGATGGAATCCTAGGGAAACCGAGGGGAACTTTCGAAAATTGTGGAGGCGAGTAATGCGTCTATTATGTTTTTCAATTAGGATTTTTATAACCCTTTTCGATAAATGGACGATCCAATACATAAATATTTTTTCAAATGGGACCAGTAGTTCCTGAGATTATCGCGTTCGAACAAACAAACTCTTCAGCTTTTTTATATAATAGTATGATATTTATTTTATTTATTTTGTTACAGGTACTTCCGAGCAATATTTGGCATTGCTTTCTTATCTGTAGTCTTTGGAATCGGTCACATAGTCAGCAACTTCATAATGAATAGAAGTGAATGATTTATTTATTATTAAATAGCTTGTACAATGTATTTATTTGAAAGCAAGGAATCAAAGAATTCGATACGGTTTGGAGTGACGATAATTTTTCATGAAGAGCACTCATGTAGGTATTTATTTAGCTTACCAGACTCTCTTGGAACCAAGATATCGAGGTCCGGAATGTGATGTGATAATAAGAATCAACACATTCAAAATGTTCTTATTCCAAAGACTGGCTAACAAATGCTGATAGCTTGTAAATACAGTCAAAGTAATACTTTTTTTTCTATATAAGATGGAGTGCCATCCGAAGTTCTTTGTTTCCTGTATATCCATAGTCCTTGTGGTCAAATATGCGATATTGTAGTAAGAAAACTTGTATTTATTCGTAATTAAGCTAAAAGGTAAATTTTATATTTGTATTTTAAAAATGGACTGGGATAAAACACGTTTTCGATCATAATTCTGCTGATACATAATTTATTCCTGTTCTTAATCATGTCTTAATAGAAATAAGCGGGGAAATGCTAGCCAAAGCGATATTCAAATGTTTCATATAAATGTATGGTTTTACAATTAATAACTACAATTTTTACAAAAATGTTTTATCGAGCAGTATGTAAATTATGATTAAGCAATAGGTATTTAAGTAATTTAAACGTAGGAAAGGGGAATATTAAGTCGCGCAGCCAATTTGCCTTGAGCAAGTGTGGTGATGATGCCCTAACCTTCTCCGTACGAGAAGAGCGCACTAATAGGCTGTTGATAATGATGGTGAAAAGAAATGTACATGCATGATACAAAATACAAGGGTGTTAGTATTAGTAGTAGATATTTATTTTACTGAGGTTATGGTTAGAAATATGAATTATTGTTCAAGTAATGCATTGTGCTCAGCTATATTAAATCTCATTTTAATATAAAAGCAATGCAAGTATACATTTATGCAGAAGGAGGCACTTTAGAACAGGCAGCTGACTTGAATTCAGTTTTTACTACAATCCTATTTTAATGTATATGTCCTGGGCATATTCAGTCTCCCTGCTGCTTTGATCGCCTGCGTACTATTGCTGATAACGACACAACTTGTTAACACAAGTCTTAAGAGTGAAAAAAGAGTTCAAATATGTACATAGATGCCTCCTTCTCCTAAATATAAGTAAACTTATTAAGCATTAAGGTATAATGATGTTAAGATGGTGACAATTCATTTTTTTGTTTACCAGCGGCCCAATTTGTTATCACGAGTGATAATTTCGGAACAGAAAAATGGAATGATGTGAATAAGCTTAACCTTTATGGCTGTAGACGACAAGCAATAATATGGCTAGTCCACCAATGTCTATTTTTTTGTTGTCTATAGTCGATAGTGACCGTTTCTTTTATTATTTACGTACAAGCATCACGCCTCGGCAAAGATCAGTCGCTATTTGTCGATTAAGCTGATAGTCTTTTTCTTTCATAAGAAAATCATACCATACACGTTGTGATTGTGATGATAGAGAAATTGGGCTTTGTAAGATATGTGAACAATAATTGACAAAAGTATAATGAACATCAGTCTAGACTCTAGACCAGTGGTAATAGACATGTAATATTAAGTAAAACCAAATGTGTAGTCAAAGTTATACTTGTCTTTAGAGGTATATTCATGTAATTCTTTTATAAACAATGTTTTAAAAACCAACTTCGTTCCCCTCTTTTTTTGAAGTCGGTTAATTAATATAATAGAACCTTTTTCTAGGTGTAAGAAACACTTTTCTAAATACCGCGTCAATATCGGTTTAGCCAATCGCGTGATAATCTTGCACAAACATACAAACTGACAATGACAACCTACTTTTTTGTTTTGAAGTCGGTTTACATAACCAATTAGGGTTAGCAAATGTATTAACTGTAAAAAAAACACGCACACATGTCAAATAACTACCTGAAAAATATGATATGAATTTTGTATTTAAAAAAAGCTTTTAGTTTAGAATAGTTTAGCATGTACGACAGACTAGTCTGGGTTTACCCAAAATGGTTTTTGTGTGTAGGTAAGGTTACAGTCACAAATAACTGCTGATGCAAGCTAAATGGACGGCTTTTCACATTTATTTCGTAGCTACAACTACATAAGTACATAATTTCAGATTATAATATGCGTTCCTATCCGTATTTTCGATCGCTTGACTGACCATTCATGCTAAATAGTCTCTTCTAAGCTGTACATCAGTAGTTACGATATTAATTATTATACATGACAATTATGATACGTGTAGTAGTACTGCACTCACTGAAATGCTGAAATTCATCTTCCTTTAATATCTATTTTTCACCATTTTCCGTCGGGACATTGTGCAAGCAAGACTTATACGTATTATAATAGTTATGCCTTCTTTTCATCGTAATGTGATTTAAAATGAACGATAAAGAAAAAATAAACATCTTATTACAATAGTTGAGGGTATTTTATTTAAATTTACTACACGTTTAATAGGGAATTGAGGTCCGCCCTGCATAACAGCTGATGCACAAGGGAGAGGAGTGTTATCTCTCTCGTACTCCAACTTGGAAGCGTATGTGGACACATAGCCACCGTCTCGGATCTTGTTTAACAGGGTGAGGGTAGTGGAGCATTCCGCAAATCCATCGTCGCCAGGCCCATTGAAGGGGGTCGAAAGACTGCAATTTCTACCCTCCTACGCCGGGTGCGAATGCTGTCGGTAGAAACGGGAGTCGTAATCTCAGTCTCTCTTTCCTCAGCCTTCTTCCGCGGCAAGACATCACCGCAGAAGGATACCGACATCACACCCTAGATATCCCTTAGGCAGCAGGTATTTTTTACCCTTTATAAAGGTACGATATATGCGCCGCGCTTGATTTTTTATAATTGTAATCACAGCCATGATATAATTTTAAGGCATCCCTATTGGTACACATTTACAAACATTTTGCTAAAATATAATTTTCATCTGGTTGTCATATTTAAGATAAGCATCCTCTAAGTACCTATACGTACGTAGTTAGGTATTGAAGTGAAAAAATACAATGTTGTATGTACATAAGTATACTGTAGGTGTTATTACTATTTCTTATTTATTACATTTGAAGTTATATTTTTTGGAGTAGTACTTTTGGGTGCATTAGGTTTATCCCACCAGTTTGTAATGGGGAATCCAGGTGTCTCGCTCACAGTCACTGTCACTGTGTCGTTCCCGGGCTCTGTCTCCGAGACTATGAACTCAGTTATGTCAGTCACATGTTTCCTAAATATAGGACGACCAGTGTTGTTGAGACAATTTGAATTCGTCGTTTTTCCTGGTTTCGTTTGGAGCACGGGTGGAGGGACTGGTTGGGGTTCTGGGTGCGGATTCTCGTGGCCGTCTTCTGAGGCTGGCGGAATAAATACTTGCTTCACTGGGTCGTAACTATACGAACCGAAGATTGGACTAAAAAGAAAAAAGATTTATGTAATAGTATCTCAAACTAGTTACCTATATTTATCTAAGTAAGTATATTTTATCTAACTCATTGGCATAATATTACGGTCTGTTACTGCTACTAGTCAGTTATAAGGTAATGATGGTAACTCCTATAGGTATCGTCTTCATCGTAATATCTAAGTCTTATTAGCGCTGCGCTACGTAGGGGCTGGTAACCGCATATTTTATCATTTTCTACAATGTACACTATTCTTTTTTTATAATCTGCTTTTATATCATCATCGTTAGGTACCTACTGGTGTTTTTATCGACTAGGTACTGAACGTGGGCGGATCCGCAAGGATTTCCATATCAGTCTTTATTAGAATAAGTTACAAACAGGGTGTTTTTCTTAATCTGCCATACACGGGATTCGAACCAATTTTACAGTTGGGTTCACCTAAGTAGATAGGTGCAGTTCCTAAAAGGTCGAAAAATACATACGGTTTCGCTCCATCCTCTATTACGTAACGTTGTAGAATTTCTCTTTTACCGAAAACACTGTAATAACTGAAAATATCTTTGAATTAGGTACATAGATATAAGTACATATTGTGTAAATACAAATTATAACGTTATTCAACTAAATACGGCATTATACGTACTGCAATATAGGATGAAGAACACCACACAGAAAAAGGACATGAAAAAGCATTTTTTAACCTGGTGCACCGTGAAATACTGAACATTATTCAAATCATAATGCAAAAACTTATTCAACATCGATACAAAATCGATTTATTTTATTACTCAGATAATAAAGTTGATGTTTTAGATTTTATAGCAGCGTGGATGGCGGATGGCGAAAAACGGCATGACCCAACTACAAGGACTATGGCCAGATTGAAACTTTTCCCGCAAATAAAAAATGAACCCAATAAGTACTTTCGTATTCTCAATATTCAGCTATGGGGCTGAGATATGCACTTTAAAGAAAGCTGGCCGAAATCGTGTTGATGCATTTGAGATATGGTGCTGGTTTTTCTTCTCAGAGTAGTCAGTTAGGAAATGTCGGCCTCACCGTTCGCTTGATAAAATTGACGTGTAAAAGTGCTGTCTTGTAGCCTATTTGCAGAAATAAATTCACTTGTTTCACTTGGTACCTGGTAGAATTTGCTACGTTATTATAATACTACACCCGCCATTTTGACTCTCACCTTTTTTTTTGAGGTGGAAAATCATCCAATGACAATGAATCACCGCCCGGGTGAGGCGCGAGGGAGTGTCAGACCTAAAAACCACCCCGTTCCTACTCCTGCACTTCGAGCCGGAGCCCCGGCAACCCGTTAAGTCTTCCGCGACTCCATATCGGCATCAGCCCAGTTGGGACCTATCTGTGGTGGTCTTATGGCTTCTTGAGGCGCGTCGCGTGATTCTGGTCGGGCGGCGAGTCACACTTGCTCGCCATCCGCAGGCCCGTGCTTACGGTGGCCGGAGATCGTCTCGCGATCGCGTGTGGGGGTTCGTTCCCTCACGCGCTCCGCCTCCTCCTTAGCTATCATGACTGCTTCGCAGAAGGAGGAGACGGCATCCCGGTCCCCCTCGCTCCGTCTCATGGTCTGAACCAGAGCCGGACGCGAGAGGTCACCGTCGTCGATCACATACCTGAGGACACGGCGGTGCTCAGCCCACGCAGGACACACCGCCACTGTATGCTCTACCGGGTCCTCCGGGCGATCCCCGCAGTGCTGACACCCGGGCGTTTCCTCCCGCATCAGACACAGGTACTACCGGAAGCTCTTGTGTCCGGTGAGGACCGGCGTCAGGAGGTAGGTGAGGACGCCGCAGCGTCTTTCAATCCACTCCTTAAAGAGGGGACTTACCGCTGCAATGGCAGCGAGCCCAGCCCTCGGTTGCGACAGTCGTTCCTGCCATTCCGCCATGAGATCGCGCCGGAGCTCATACCGTCACGCACAAAAATGGCGCGGCAGCGGAGTTTCGCCCCAGCCGAGCGATGCCTCCGCGCGCAAACAAAACGCGTGCGAGCACCTTCGCCTCCAGATCCCACGGCGGTAAACCGGCAAGGAGGTTCGCCGCCTCCACGGAGATCGTGTGATATCCGCGGATCAATCGAATTGCCATGACCCTCTGTGATGTGAGCAGAGGAGAGGGCCATGGACCGCACGACGCCAGCGTATCCGGGAGATATGGTGCTGGACGAAAATGCTTCAGATCCCATGGACGACCTTCCGTACTAATACGTCTATACTACGAACTGAAGATATAGATCCGTCTCTCCTCTAGCTGCCTGCGAAGAGTTGTACTTATTATATAAACGGAGTAGGGAAACTTAAATCGTCGGATAGTGCTTCATAGTTAGCCACATATAGCTTCCTACGTAAATACAAGAGGTACCTATTACAAATGCGTTGCAGACCATGTTGGCAACTCAATACATTCCGAGGAAGAAATTTTCACGATAAAACAATCAAACAGTACTTTCATTGAACATTCGGACCTCTCACTTATCAAACGAAACGCAGTAGGTATAGGATTAAAGCACCACAAAAACACTGGTATTAAGTTCTGTGTGAAGGACGTGAAGGTATCTCTTATTATTTTCCCGGTCGAGCTCATCCAGTCAAGTTTCATAAATCAAACAGTATAGTAGAAACATCTGGCTCATGACTAAGGAGTAAAGTCTGTTTAAGTTTCTGTAATGAAGTAGGTATGTCATTGACCAAAATATCTAAAGTAGGCATCATATCGTATGAAAAAACATGAGAATGTCCATCAGACTTATTTTTCAACCATGGTCATGGTAAGTACAAAAAGAAAAACTGAGTTCTATTGGCCTTGACCTAAATTTATCAAAATGTGAACTATACATTCCTGACTCTACAGACAGACTAACGACTCTAGCAAAATTTAATCAAATAGCTCCAAATATTAAAATTATTGATACGTACTCACTTCACCTCCCAGGTTCACCAATATTCGATGAATGTTTTCCTAAATTCATCGAGGACAAGATACAAAATTTCAATCACATTTCGGATAGATTACACAAAATCAACACACATTCGGCTTTCACCCTAATTCGGTACTGTTGTTTTGGACCAAAATTTACTTATATTCTCCGCGCTTCACATCTATGGAAACATTCACACATTTTAGAAAACGTAGACAAAATTATCAGACACACATTGCCATCCATACTTAATGTGGCTTTGGATGACCGAGCTTGGCAACAAGCTACTCTTCCTATTCGCATGGGAGGGCTCGGCGCCCGCTGCGCAGTGTTATTCGTGAGTCTTTAATCAACTCGTCTAATACTGCAGAGCGAGCTCGCTTATTGGCTGTGGGACAATGGGAATCAGGATTTTGGCTTCAGGCACTCCCGTCACCCTTCATAGGTACTATGTTGGATGACATAACGTTCCGCCTAGCTGTATGCTTACGTTTAGGTGCTCTTTGTGTTTCTCCGCATTATTGTCACTGTGGAGAAAGATTCGATGACTTGGGACACCATGGTCTTTCTTGTTGCAGAAGTGCAGGCCGCATAGCTCGCCATGCCAGCATCAACGACACCATTCGTCGTGCTCTTGCCTCAGCCGGTGTACCAGCCGTATTAGAACCTAATGGTTTGGTACGTGATGACGGCAAAAGACCAGATGGTATGTCGTTGCTGCCTTGGAAGATGGGTAGGCCTTTGGTGTGGGACGCGACGTGTGTAGACACCCTTGCGCCATCACATCTTTTAAGCACCGCTGCATGCGTTGGTGCAGCTGCTTCTGCAGCAGAGGCCCTCAAACGGCGTAAATATTCAAATCTAGTGGGTGACTACTGTTTTGAACCGTTTGGGGTCGAAACACTTGGGCCATGGGGTCCCAGTGCACACTCTGTGTTTAAAGATATCGCCCGTAGGCTAATTGACTCTACACGTGACCAGAGGGCTGGCTTTTTCTTCGGACAGAAAATAAGCATTGCCATTCAACGTGGCAATGCTGCCAGTCTTCTGGGAACGTTCCCCTGTGATAGTAATGCGGACGAATACTTTGACGCCTAAATTAAGGGTATAATTGTTGTTGTTTTCTTTTTTTTACTTTCGTTTTATTTAATAGTTTAGTTGTGGTAAGTACTAAACCTATCCAGGTTAATTCATCCACTGAAGAACAAAGGTTTTCTTCAGATTGCGACAATTATGCATCTTTTGGCTAACTTTTAAACTAACAGGCTCTGAATCTGAAATTGTTAGACTAGAGACAAACCTGAAGTTATACTGTTGTAAACTTGTAATACTATAAAAAGGTCACAATGTAGAAGGTAGAGATCATGTTAGGTAAATAACATACTTTAGGAGCTAGGTAGGAGAGCCTAGTGTCCTAGAGGAGGTTTCTTCTTTTCTTCCATTACTAGTAAAACTCCGATGAGAGGTGTGGACCAGAATGATTTTATTCGCCAAATTACGCTACTTATATTTCTATTTACATATTTACAATTAGATAATATCAGATATAGTTAGGTGATAGTTTCGACCAATAGCGGCGCGCCGGCGTGCGCGGGGCGCGCGGGGTGAGGGGCGCCGCTTTGCACACGGCACTATCGGTTCCTTCCGTATAAGTATGACCGCGCGGCGCGAGCGCGCGCATTTCTCCGAGCGCCGGCGTCGAGTGAAGACTGAAGACTAGCTACAGATGAACAATGAAGATACGACGAATGCAAGTGCTCCGGCTCCGGCTCCGCTTGCGCTGCTTGGCTGCTTCCTTAACCAAACCGCTTCTTTCGAAGCGATCGCTCGTGGCACGGTGTGATAACGCTGTTGCCGCAGTGATTATTATCGTTTCTATGCGAGAGAGTCGTAAACTGTCTTTTTCAAGACAATTGGTTTCTTGTTTCTAAAAACGGAGTCAAAACGTAAGCTGTCTTTTTCAAGACAATTTGTTTCTTGTTTCTAAAACGAAGTAAGTCTAAAACTTTTGGTAAAGGTATTGTGGAAGGTATATGGTAAGGTATTCGGTGGTACTGGTAACTGGTAGGTATGTAGTCGTGCGGTGCGGCTACAATACCTAAGTCAAAATCTATCGTAAGTTCGTACATGTAATAAGTAGAGGTAGGTAAACTTACTCAGTAAAAAATAAAAATACGATTTTGTAGGTAATATATAAATAATTATTATAATAATGTTATTAAGTACTTAATGCTTATTTATTACAAAATATATTTTTGCTCCTCTAGTATGTGTGTTATGTTCATTCCTCCATATCAGGAGTAAGTAACATGTTTCCTATGTACTGTAAGACTATCAATGAGACTGTCTAGTACCTGTTTTTTTCGATCTTATTTTCGTTTCATCTACTACTGCCGTCGATTGAACGAAAGAGTCGCTGACGGATTGACTTGGCAATGGCAAAGGACTGGTAGGGCCGTAGTCCTCTGGTTGATAGTTTCTTTCTTCTGGGAGTGGTGTAACAAATATTCGCTTCACTGGATCGTAGCTATACGAACCGAAAATAGCACTAAAAAGAAAAATACCATGATATTATCCTTCATCTCCATTTCGTTATGAGGTCGCGCACCTGCCTGACTATGCTCCTTGCGCTGCTCATCGCTATGATCCTCGCGCTGTCGTGATTTGCCGCGATGTTGCCCTCACTGCCCACACACTGCCGCAATCGAGACCCCCTTATTGCCGGTCCTCGGTGCCTCCTCGTATTGCCGGTGCTTTGACTCGCGCGTAAAAATCGACAAAATAGGGAGCAGCTGGCAGGACGAGGAGCATGACGTGTGCCATGACGAGTAATTTTGGCACACCATGTGTCTGCTTCCTTTCCTCGTTACTTCGTATGCCACTCGTCGAGTCTGTGGCAGGCGCATTAGCTACCCATCGGTTTATCATGGTACCTAAACTACAACTACTTAATGGCAGCTAAATGGGACTTCTTAAAATAATACCTTACAGTAAACTGTAGGTACGGTTTTTTACAGAATTCTTTTTTTTTCCCGATTCGAATGAGAGATGTCATTAACGGGAATTTCTTTTAGCAAAGGTGCATCTCTGTAAACCATGTAGGACAAAAACATACATACGGTTTAGCTCCAGCCTTTACTAGAAAACGTGGAACTGCGTCACTTTTACCGTTAACACTGTAGCACCTGAAAATAACTTTGAAATAAATAAATATCTAAATGTACAGGGTGTCCCTGATGTCGACGATCAAATGGCACCAGATGATCGGCAAGGTTCCAACAGTTATTAGATAGAAATATTTAAAAAAATCAACTTAGATAGTTTTTAAATTACAATGACTTATGTGTTCCACATCAATCCACGAAAAAGTACCTACACCCTGTGCCAGTCTTTTGACTCTTGTTCCTAAAATTCTTTATTTTTTCGTCTATTTTTTTGCTTACGTTATCCTGAATAGTGTTTCAATATTATAAAATCATAGAATCATAAATTCTAACCCAACTGCTTTAGTTTAGAAAAGAATAACATAAAATTTACCCATAGTACTGAAGCACTCTTCAGGCTAAAATTTGACATGCAGGTGATGTTATGACTTAGACATCCGCTTAGAAAGGATTTTAATCATATACACCCCTTGGTGGGGCTAAGATAGAGGCTGAAAGTTTGTATGAAACTTTGTCAGTCTTAAACCGATCGGATTGAAATTCGGCCTAGGTACAGATAGATGTTATGACGTTGGCATCGCCGACAACAACAAAGGATTTTGATGAATTCCACTCCTTTTTTTTAAGGGGGGAAAATCATCGAATGACTGCTCCCGCTTGGGCGAGGAGGGAGTGTCAGACTCTTACTGACTAAAAACCACCCCGTTTCTTCTCCTGCACGTCGAGCCGGAGCCCTGGTTACCCGTTAGGTTCTCCGACTCCTAAGGGGTAGATTCTGCCAGAAGTAATAATAATTACATCCGCTTATAATACTACGCGGACGAAGTTGCGGGCAACAGCTAGTTCAGTATAATTAAGAAATACATAATTATTATGTAGCTACAAATCGTCGATTGCTACTTGAAAAGATATTTTATAGTTTGAAAGGACGGGTCCAGCTCTAGTTGGTTTGATCAGGGTATCACGGTGGCAAAGGATGCAATTGCGACTCTGATCCCAACCTTTTTTGTCTATCTCATGAACCAGATTATTTGGTTGAATATAACGAACGGTCTATATCATTATCGTCTAGGAAATCCTCAGGGTAGAACGTATCGAACGTGTACATTATATAATTTACGTACTGCAATATAGGCTGAAGAACACCACACACAAACAGGAAGTAGTACATTTTTTTAATACTAATGCACTGTGAAATTCTGAGCATTATTCAAATAAGTATTACCGCATGATATTTTGTACAATTCTACAATAAGTGCAATATTTATATAATCTTATTTGACATTGAGTAAAAATCGATTTATTTTGTTACCCAGCTGCCTAGGCAATAAAATTATCACTTACGTAAGTACCTACCTACCTGCTTTATATTTAGGCACAATATAATGTAATAGGTAAAATATTTAAACTGATGGTACCTACAACAATGTGATACAACTAATAAAAACACTGTAGAGTATAAGTATGGGGACTGAAAGTATACTTCGCACAGCATGCACTTGGTAATATTTATATCTTTCGCTGGATCACTGATTATGGATTGGCATTCTGAACCTGAACTCACGACATGGGGTAGGGAGAGGCCAGTAAACTAAGTATATGTTTTAGCCTTCTGAAATTGATTTAAGGGCTGTCACCATGAATATCAACGCACGTAGGTAATGTCAGTTCAGTAGGGTTCTAGACATTATCCAAAAGAGTATATAGGCGTCTGGATTCCTGCCGACTATAGCGTGTCGACTAAACGCTGCCGCTGCAAAGTTTTAGCCTGAATGAATTCACCATAATGACGACACGCGAGGCGGGTAGGCAAAAATGCCATGCCGAGGGCCGAAGGCAAAGAGCGCCACGAAAGGCATGCAGTCCTACAAAGTGCCCGTTTTAACAGGGAAAATCATTAAATGACTTGTAACAGCTTTGGTGGGGCACGAGGGAGAGTAAATAAGACACTTTTTGAAATCCCCGCGTTCGTTCCCACCCACGCAAGGTCGTCCGCAGCCCCGGTAGAACGGAATGTCTTGCCTAAGCGACAAATCGCACACGACGATGAGACGCTGCGCGCGCGCTCGACGCACGCAATCAAATCAACAGCATAATTAACGTTCCAACTCAAACGGAAAACTTAACGGGTGACCGCGGGTGAGCTCGAAGTGCAGGAGTAGGAACGGGGTGGTTTTTAGTCAGTAAGAGTCATTTTAGTCTTACAACTAAATAAGCTTGATAAAGCTTAAAATGGAATATTCCAGCTTCAACACAAATCTTTTTAGTCAAAGAGACCGAAGCCCATGTCGTCGTCGGACTCCTCAGGTTCTTCCTCCTTCTTCTTCTCCTCCTTGGCCTCAGCAGCGGGCGCTGCGGCGGCTGCGGCGGGCGCAGGGCCGGCAGCCGGGGCAGCTCATACGCCGGATCCGATGTTGGTGATCAGGTCGCGCACGTTGATGCCTTCCAGCGCCTTCGCGAACAGACCAGGCCAGTAGGGCTCTACATCAACGTTGGCCGCCTTCAGGATGGTGGAGATCTTCTCACCAGTTACGGCAACATCATCATCAACGAGGATGAGAGCGGAGTAAACGCAAGCTAATTCAGCCTTTGATGCCATTTTTAATAAGTCGCCAACAGGCCTTAGCTCTTAGAGAACAAGCAAGAGCAATCACGAGTCTGACACTCCCTCCCGGCTACCCAGGCGGGAGAACTCAATCGATGATTATTCCCTCCTTAAAAAAAAATGGTATCGTTTTGAGTCGCATTGTATTTTAGGCGTCTCTTATTATGATGGCACAGACTACCATACCTACTTTATTTGTACACTCTTTAAATTGGATGTATCATGGGTCATGCCCATGGTAGAACTGTTTCTATACTTACTATGGTTGTGTACCTGGCAACGGCAAAGGTACCTTGTCACCTTATTACTTGTGTGCTGCGTCGGGGATCGCGGGACGATCTCCGGCCACCGTAAGCGCGGGCCTGCGGACGGCGAGCATGGGTGGCTCCCCGTCCGACCAGAAACAGACCCGAGCGTACGGCGCGTCGCGTTCCGCGCGCGCCTCAAAGAGCCATCAGACCACCACAGATGGGGCCCAATACGGCCGATGCCGATTCGGAGTCGCGGAGAACCTAACGGGTAACCGGGGCTCCGGCTCGACGTGCAGGAGAAGGAACGGGGTGGTTTTTAGTCAGTAAGAGTCTGACACTCCCTCCCGCCTCACCCAGGCGGGGGCAGTCATTCGATGATTTTCCCCCCTTAAAAAAAAAAAAAAAAAAAATTACTTGTGTGCTAATGTCTTTGCATTTGGAGGTTGACGTTGTAAAATTACTTGGAGGTCGATCCTCTTCGTAGGGCGGTAACATAAAATCACAAGTGAAGCCTACACAGAGATGAAGAGTCGGAATCTTGTTTCCTTCTAATCAAATTCTAATCGACGAACAAGCATATCAAAATTATCGGAAATCCAAATTCAAACACCTTTTTTCAACGTCCTTGTCTGTAGTATAAATTTTACCAACACTAATTATTTTTAGTCTAAAATAATTTATTGTAATAAATAAAAGTTAATTTCTAAAATTTGAAATGATGGTGTACCTTTTAGTTTTCAAATAATTTGATCAAGTAATTGGAAAACATACATACAATAATCATATTATATCAGCGTTGTACTTACATAAAACGAGCAAATAAACTGCAACGATTAGTTCTTGAATTCACCGCATGAGGGAGTGCTTTTAAAGTCTTACTGCGCTCTAATAATAACTGTCAAAATCTGCGTGGAATGGAACCAATATTTGTTTGAGAAAATTAGTACATCAAATCAAGCTGTCATTCGTGGTTTATTTTCGTCATTTGTGAAGTGTATTCATTTCTTTATTCTTAGGGTCTTACAAAATTCTTTGTATCCTTGAAACATATTACATTAATTTAATCAAAAGAAACAATTTTAACGAAAATACAAACTTGAATTTAAAGAAAATTGTAAAAACAAAAATCCTTTGTATGATTTCAAAGTTGATTGTGTTATTATTTTTTACGTTTCTGGGACAAAGTCAAGAATGTCTAGATAGTAAATGGCCTCTGCGTATTGTGATTAGACGTAGAAACGTATTATTGTGTTGATATTTATATTTTATTATGGCACATTTTGGAAAACGCGATGTTACCTACAGCGCTCTCAACAACGAATTAACTCCGCCACTGGGTGGTCTGGCGGAGACCACGAATGCAGCTCCAACTTTTATAACACTGGACCACGAGCATGAGGATGCTAACAATGTTATCATCCACAAAGTGCCCAAAAACAAAGGTGAGCTAGTAGTCACATGGTGCAATTTTTTGTGAGTCTTTGTTCACTGTTCCATGTGTTGTATGAGGCTAACAAACGTTTTGGCGTACTATTTTTTATGCAAGGCTATGTGAAATTATTGCTGCATCATCAGTTATGAATTAGGATGCTTTGTAATTGGTTTTAAAGCAGTTTAATTGTTCTTGAGAGTATTCTGTTATTAACAGAATGTTGTTTTGTTGCAGGAGGATGGACTCACATAGAGGACCTAGACTCATTTTTTACAAGAATGTACAGATACTATGTTCGTGGTGGATTTTATCCGATGATAATGTCCGACTTGTTTTATTTGTTGCAATTTATTTTCATAGTGTGGTTTTCCACATTTTTGGTGTATTGCGTAGATTATACAAAATTATTTAGGAATGGCCCAGATGCTAATAGAAGTGACAAAATTAGTTTAAATGATGTTATTCTTCCACCAGCCGTATGTGTGAAGAGTGTAGCCTGGAAATGGTAAGTTACAGAATTTACTTATATTGCTGTGCGACACTTTTGTAAATGGCTAATGCAAATTTCATAATTTCTTGATGATTTCGATCTCAAGTCTTTGTTACATTACATGTAATATTACCAAATCATGCTGCACTATGTCTGAGTATGTCTGAACTAAATTCACAATCAATGCAACCTTAGATTGTGCTGTCAATTGTTGTAAATGGGCCATTCGACTAGTGCAATTAGGTGCTGTGCGAATACAGCCAATATACCCATGCTAAACAGTTATATAGCTGAATAGTTTGTAAACTATGGATATGTGCCAGAAACTATTATTTGTATGTTTACATAATTCTCTATGAAATACTTATCTTTATACACATTCTGGCAGTGACTTTAACTAACAAAGAAATGTTGTATTTATTTTTACATATCAATGCTTTAGATGTAGTTGTCATGTATGTCTGTCAATCAAGGGACATTGGGTTTGATTACCGGTCAAAGCAAAGTCTTATTGAGAATTTCGAAAATTTTTAATAATAATTAATATTTGTAAAATAAAGTTCAAAGAAACTTCTTTGAAAAATTAGCTGGCAGGATGTTATGTTAACTTTAACATTTTTCACATACATTTTTACAACCTGCTTGATGCTTGTGAGAAGTAAGTAAATTGTCTTTATTGCTGGCGAATAGGATAGCTGAGTTTAAAGATTTAGATTCAATTCTAAAATCTTTATATGTCATAGAGATCCAATCCAACAAACAACTGCCTTGTGGGTCTAGTGATTAGTAATTCGACCAACAAAAAAGGGTTCTTGGGTTGGGCTCCCTAGTCAGCTCTGCCTGACCTATAGGGTTTCTATTCTTTTTATGGCTTTTTGATAATTCTCAGGTATAGCACTCATATTTTGTCCAGGATATGAAAATAGGCCGGATAATGACTGGAGAAAAAAACTGGATGCTGCATTGAAAATGGCCATCAGGGCTCAAGAGTCACGCGTTATTATCCAAAATACCCTGTTACCAACCCTAAAGAATAATTGTAGTGTCCTAGAGAATGCAAGTTTTGTGGCCAAAAGCTAGATTTTAAATCGAAATCATTTATATATTTTTATACTTCTGCTGGCACGACTGCTAATTGTCATTATATTACACAGACATTTATTTATTCTCTTATTATATACAAATGTTATTTAAAATACGATGTTTTATTCTTTAATTTCGTATTTCAGTAGCTGCTTGCTAAGCTTATACTGATCCCTGAGCAAATGTCTATAAGTAGTTGATGTTTTGGTTTATTTTCTATAGTAATGCATTACTAATTGAAATGTTATATTTTAGGTGGTGCCTCGTCACACTGTGTGCTGTTATTTGGCTGATGAGGCTAATTATATCAATATACCATTTATATTACGCATATGATACCAAATTATTTTATAATAATGCATTAAAAATAAAAGAGGTGAGTAACTTTACCATGATGTCACCAGTAAAAACAAACTTTGAACAGTCACATCACTTAATTAATTTAATTTTATGTGAAATCAGCATAATTATAGTAAAAGCCATCATAGACTTGCACTCAAAGAAAACTGCCTCCCATTACTCTGTATGCTTAGGCGTACTTAGGTACAGAACATGCAATTTATCGAATCTGTGAGTTAGTAAATGTTGTAAAAATCATAATTTCTGTGTTTCAGAGTGATTTAGTTTGGATCAACTGGTCCACAATTCAAGACAGAGTGAGAGAAGCCCAGCCAGAACACCACATGTGTGTCCACAAACAAGAGATCAACGAACTAGATATTTATCATCGAATACTCAGGTTTGTATACATTTTGTTTCATTTATTTTATTTAATCAATTTCCAAAAAAATAACTAAGTTTACTCAAATCGATCTTTTTTTCTACGCACCGCCACCATCTTGATCCTTAAACAAAATGGCGGCGTTAACGTTGTTATTTTTACTACAATAGCGGCCCATCCCAATTTCGCAACAGTTGTTATTCCTTTCCTTATTAAATGTATCTTTCATGCAAACCTCGTCCCGACAATAACGAACGCAACTAAAAACGATTATCCAATTTGTAGCAGCCGTTCGGAAGTTATGCGCGTGCATACATTTCAACGAATATGATATCTATCAGTGCTATGATTTTACAATACGAGCAATACTGATTTTTCATACTCACGAGGTTCATATCTACTTTAAATTCTCTTTGCAACATTGTGTACAGTTTTGCATTTGCTAAAAATAAAGGTTTATGCAATACCGTAAGAGAACAAAGAAATCTTTTATTGAAAAGGTCTTGAAATTCAAATATACAACGTAAGATAGCTGTTATGACTTAACATGTGTCCCAGATTGAGTTCCTTACTCTGCCTTGAGATGAATTATACATAGATCGGTTAGTGCAATCACTAACATTTGCCTGCGACATCATACGCGTATCTAAAACGCTCATGTCCTCTTCACGTAGCGATTTCAACACAAAATTTTAAGAGAAGCTAACTGACGAAATGCAAGAAAAAATGTATCAAAAAAAGTTCGCTGGGTTCAGCTGTTTCCGAAAATGGCGCACCCAAGCCCAAACGCTCAACCAAACAGATGCAACAATGTTTTTTTAGTTCTATTTTGGTTGGTTTGACAAAGGGTGTCCTTTTTTTTATAAGCATTCCATTTACGACCAGCGGTTGGTTATGCTTTATTGTTGTGTGTAGATTTGCAATGTTTATTTTATCCTTTAGGTGCACTCTGTCAACTTACGCTCTCGCTTTATCTGTCTTTATCATTGCAAGAGTTTATTTACTCCACAGAACACATATTCATCAATATATTTCCTTAACAAAATCAGTTTCTTTTGACTTGCATTTCCGAATAATTCTGAATAATTTGAACTTGTTGTTTGATGGAGGCATTGTTCTAGATGAAATGTTATTAAACTTAGAATGAATTGGTGTAATAATAGACTGTTTCATAAGCGAGGTAATTTCCCTGCCACGCCTTAACTACTATTAGTACATATCCTGTTCTCTGAACTAGAAAGTTTGTATTTATGCTAATTACTCATTAACGCAAAACATACCATACTGATTTAGATTTTCTTTTGTATCTTTAAAACATGTATAGATTACCATGGTCATAGAACCATTTGCGCAACCATTTTTGTCTAGCTAGAGCAACCAGGATAAAGACACCAAAATAAATACCAGGGTTATCACTATCAGTTGCAAGATGAATGTTGAACAGTTGGCAGTATTTTGGCTTTACCTACGACGTCAAACTTAACCCATCCCTGGCACTACTGGGGTATGGCTTGATAACTTGTTACAAATACTCATTGGGCGGCCAATAGTTGAGTCCATACCATTCGGTCCCCGACAACCATTAGATCGTAAAGTCAAATTATCATCGGATATGTTCCTGCATACATTTTGTTGGTTGCTAGACATGTTTGCACGACTATGGGTCCGACAGTGCATTCACAAGTTCCTAGGATGGACATTAGTTTTGTCTTGATAGCAGTCAAAGCTTATCAAAATGTCAACACTGCTTTTGCTTCGCACATTTTCGTGTAAATAATATGCTGTGTCTATCTCTTTACAGGTTTACAAATTATATGGTGGCAATGGTGAATAAAAATCTACTTCCTCTGCAAATACATGTGCCTTGTATTGGTGATTTTCACTATTTATCCCGAGGGTTGAAATGGAATATCGAGTTTTTATTATTTTGTAAGTATCATTTATCTCTTATAGTTCCATCTGGTAAATTAATTTTTTATCACATATCCACGTGTTGCAACAAGGATTGAAGGACCTTGATCTGTTTTATTTAGCACAATAAAGAATATCTTATCGAAATTCTATATTATAATCATAACGAATTGAATTTTTTTTCATTCACAATTCCGACGCAGTTGTTTAAACAATAATACATATTCGTATTGAATAGTGACCTTAGTATTAATTTATTACTAATTTCCTTCTACAGATAGTCCGTGGAGTCCATGGGAAAACTGTTGGCAACTCCGTGCATGTTATAAGGATCACTCAAAACGAATGTTACTAGCACGACAGCTTGAGAGACAAATATTATGGTTGGCGATAGTAAACTTACTGCTCGCGCCTCTTATACAGGCGTGGCAAATACTGTACTTCTTCTTCAATTATGCCGAGGTTCGTTATCTTAACTATATAAAGAACTTCAGCTTAGCAATGTTTCTCATCGAGTTCTTTTGCTTAACTTGAACGTACAATTAAGTATTATTGCGCCTACGCATATAATAAAACAAGCTCCTAAGCGATTTTGTTTACATCGGCCAATCTCAATGTGAAACTAGCTCACATCGCAGGATATGTTCCTGTTCCCAAATGGGCACAAACGCACTAGTGCGCCGTCATATCCCCTTATCGTCATCTTATGACCAACAGCTTTACATTATTTGTGACCCATAAGGTTGAAACATCGCTAGTGTTACAGAACTCTTGCCTTTATTGGTAATATTAATTAACTCGTCGAGTACCGTCATTATAGACACAATTATAGAACAATAGGTTGCGGTCACCGGTGACCGCTTGGTGTTTGACAGTTTAAAGAAAATACTCCTTAACATATACCTTTACTTATGCACTGATATCTACTATGGTTTTCTAGTTAATAAAACGTTCGCCCGCGTCGCTTGGTCTCCGAACGTGGTCGTTGTACGCTCGCATCACACTGCGTCACTTCAACGAGCTGGAACACGAACTACGCGACCGACTGAACAGAGCCCACAAACCAGCTACTAAATACCTTGGGAGCTTCTCATCGCCCATCACCACTGTAATAGCCAAGTAAGGTATTTTATCTATTTAATCTAGAGATATTTGTAATCTCTAGTACTGGTCAGTAAACTTATGGTTTCCTAATCATGATCGTTATCACTCTGGTCTGCTCCACGAAAGGGCAAAGGCATCTTTGTGCACACGGAGAAGGAATGATAATTAATCACCGAACTAAGGCAAATGGGTGGATTCGGCCTTTTATTTCTAATTATACCTAAGTCAAGGTTTCCTCATTATGTATTTCCTTCCCCGTACGTTAGCGATCTTTAAATTAACTGAAAATAACAACTCTGACTTACGTTTCTAACTAGTATCTATGTAGATACTTAGGTGTGTACTTAAGAAACTAAAACAAACTTCCAGGCTTATATTTTTCGGTTATTGGTTATTTTTATGTACAGCCATTAATGATAAACATTTAGAATATATAAATACCTTGACTAATTTATTCGTTAACCATGAAAATGTGTTAAAATAGCAATCCACTTTTTCCAACATAGTTTTTGTTTTCAATGTGCACTGTGCAGTACCAAATGTAGGTAACCTGAATAAATACAAATGATAAAAGCAATTACTTGTTTATAGGTGCACTTTAATTAGGTAATATAAACAAGATTAATAGACATATTATTGGCAAACTAGGGTAGTGTCACGCGTAGCTCGAGTGATTCATAATTCATTGACTCACACGCAAATGGCTTCTAGTGGTTCATATAAATAGTATTCACTAGTTATCTTTCCTTTGATTTATTGCCACTTGGAAATGTAATTAAATAGTGCAAATTGTTGTCAAGCAAATACTTTTATAATTATAGTTTCAACTTTATCTTGGTTTGAGATTTACGCCTGAATACTGAAATGCTACTCAATTTTAATAAGTTGTACTGGAATATCGTGTCATCTCTGTAATTACCTACTTCAAAAGAACTTATGGCGCCGACTTCAAACCTATCAGTACTAATAATAGTTATTTTTTGCTTTTTAGTTTTGACATTTTGTTTTTTTTACAAAGAATTTGTAGTCGCAGAACTATACTTAAGCGCGTCTTAAAATTGAGGGACTATTATGGGACACACCCATAATCAAATGTCAAACTATTCATGTGGTTGTAAACAAAGAATGTTTCTACAAATATGTCATCCTATTTACCTATCCAAATGACACAAAAATGTAGGCTTTTGTAAGTAGGCGTAGGACATGTCATAAAATCTCACAATAAACAGATAACTGCGACTGGAACGTAAGTAGTAATTACTAAACAAGATTACGTCAATACCACATATATTATTCAAACCATGACTTTACAGAAATTGTAACAACGCCAAAGTATTTTATTTATCTAGTAAAAATATATTGCGTAAACGACGCAATGTTATTTTTACGTCGCAATGTATTTTTGTCTAAAATAAAAGTCATGCAATTTGGCACTTATTCCGTTACTCGATTTCCTCTCAGCTCGTGTTGGGTGACGTAGAGAGTGACGTCACTGGCGTACATTGTCTGTATGCAGTTGCAATAATAAGTAGGTTTTATTATCTTATTCATATTAAAAATGCGAAAGTTTGTGTATATGTTTGTTACGCATCATGTCAAAACGACCGAAGGGATCAGGATGAAATTCGGGACAGAGGAACATTATATGGTCGGTATTAGACGTAGGCTACTTTTCTCCCAGAGGACTGCTACCGAAGCCACAGGCAGAAGCTAGTAGTCATAAATCACGTTAGAATAATAAATTATTATGTTTTCGGCTTACTCACGTAATACTTTGATGTTAGAATAATAAATTATTATGTTTTCGGCTTACTCACGTAATACTTTGATGTTAGAATAATAAATTATTATGTTTTCGGCTTACTCACGTAATACTTTGATGAGGAACTTGACTACTTTCAAGCAATGCTAGAGGCTCATATTCATGAGCAGCATTCCGCGACCTGCGGCGCGGCGACTGTCGCGCTGCTACTGACTAGTCGAGTTCCTCGTCAAATTATTACGTGAGTAAGCCGAAAACATAATAATTTATTTAGTATGTCTCACGAAAGTTACAATACAAACGTTAAAATAATATTTGCTAGCTCTAATGTTGATTTTGGAGGATTTCGTCCTAATTTAATTAATTCGATTATTTATAATCTTCAGTCGTAATAATCGGGTGATTAAAATGTGGCTTAGAAATTATCTCATTTTTAATCTAGAATTATCACGCTCCATAAAACCGCCGCGAGTATCATTGCTGTCAAAGCTTTTAGACCGTCCCCTTACCATTGTTTTCAAACAACACAAATGCGACTTTTATCTTTTAGTTTTCTGTTCCATGTCTAAATAGTTGTTTAATGTTTCAGGAACGTCGTATTTCTATCGGCGAGTATCCTGGGCGTGCTAGTTGTGCTGTCGGTGTATGATGAAGATGTACTGACAGTGGAACACGTGCTGAGTATCATCACCATACTTGGCTGCGTTCTAGCTGCTGCCAGAGCTCTAATTGGAGAGGAAGAACGGTTAGGTGGTGGGTGCACAGGTCCTGCTCGAGGTGAGGAACTGTTTGTCCAGGTCCTCGGTCACGTACACTATCTGCCCGCCGCCTGGAGAGGACGCGCCCACACCAAGGACGTCGCCGCCCACTTCCAACAACTCTTCCAGTTTAGAGCCGTGAGTATATTATTACTACTAAATCGATATTTACTAGTAACTCCTAATAGTACTCAGAAAACTCGCGAAACGTTAGAAAAGCGCATCAAATTCGATCCATCAGTTCCTGAGCTACATTCATCCTCACAGATCTAAAAATACCAAAAGTTTCCAGTGAGCTACATTATTGGATTTGTCTTCAAAAGTTTTTCCATCTTCCATCTTTGCCACAATGATGAACAATGAGAACATACCTATTTTAGAAGTCTTAAGTACCTTATTACATAAACTAAGACACTGCATGTGTTCATTTAGAAACATGAATCTATTATTAATAGACTATTAAGGAATATTATTATTTGAAGTAATAACTCCATATTACAGGTATACATCTTCTTCGAGCTGCTGAGTCCGTTACTATGCCCCCTGATACTGTTCTCGCTTCGTTCCCGAGCTCTGGACATCGTGGACTTTTACCGCAATTTCACTGTTAGCGTACTTGGCATTGGCGATGTTTGTTCATTCGCACAGGTATAATGTCTGTCCTTTCTACGTATAAAAAAGTAAATTACATATTTGAAATACACGGCCTTAAACACTACTAATTGAGAAAATGTGTATTAGTCTCGATTTACATGGGGATTCATGTTTATAAGCGTTGTTTGCGCCGCGGCTTCATCGCAAAGTCAACAGGGGTTACTTATTATCAGATACAAAAATCGTACCATACCTGAACTGAAATTATTTATTTATTCACACATTTTATTCCTTTCAGCTGGACATTCGACGACACGGTCACCCAGATTGGCATACGCCCGGCAAATTGAAAGGTTTGTATTTATTTTTATCCTCAATAGGTGGCGTATTATGACTTTTAAAGCCAGAGTGGTTCCACTGAGGGAACGAGATCTCGCTAGACGACTTGTATAACTGTTTCTTTCCCTCAATGGAACCTCAGAGGTCTAACAACTTGATATGATACTGTAAATTACAAAAATTGAAATCATTTCCCACACTTTACTTTTTACAATAAGTTATAGTGTATCTCCTTTCTTAGCCCAATATTGCAGAACCACTTGCAGGCGAGATCTTTATTCAAGAATAGTTAAAAAGGGATGCAATTAGATACGCACATCCAAGATCCGGACATGCCTTTCCTACTACTACGCATAATCACAGATCTCCAATTCATTGTCGTTCTATTATAATATAGGCAATAAATATTTTAGTATTTGGTTTAAATTTAGACTAACCACAATCGGAACCAGTGAAACAGGACCTAACTAAATAATTGTTTACAGGAGCCACAGCGAACACGCAATACGATCAGGGTGAAGGTGGCAAGACGGAGCTCTCACTAGTAGCATTCTCCTGCCGCCACCCTGGATGGCAACCCACCGAGCCATCGCAGCGTCAGTTCCTCAGGTCTTTGCGTCAGAGCATGCACCATGCTATACCTGCCAATAATCATCTTGTAAGCATATATTATACGTTTTTTTTCAAATACTCTGTGCGTTTACGTTAAGTGAATATCATCAATGACTGACATATAAAAAGCCTATGGAAAAACAAGTATAATGCATGTTTGTTTGTTTCAGAACAAAACGATGCTGGGTTCGTACATTCAACAGAGTTTATTTGGTGCTATCACACCGTTGCCAGCAGTGCTCTCTTATTACCCACAGCAGAAGCAGCCGTATAGATTGCCAGTAAGTTTACCTTTACGTGTTTTCTCTTACATAAACTTTACATAAAAATTTGTTTATATTTTTGTGCAGGATATTGAACTGCAAAGTTTAGTTAATAAGATGTAGATTCTTATAGAGTTGTACGTAACACAAAAGTTAACAAAGTGGACTTACGCACAATTTTTAGTTAAATGGTTTTTTTATTCATATCGATTTGAGACCTAATTGCAATGTCTGAGACTAGAATATAAATAAAACTAATATTTAGTCTGTTGTGACTCATATGTGTAGTAGCCTCTTATCAATATAACTCAAATACATACACATCTCTAATACTTTTTACCTTTTTAAGGACATGGACGAGACTAGTGATGAAGACGATGCTCCCCCCTCTGGTCCGACTCGCTCGGCCCAGTCTAACACTCCCCTCGGCCTGGCGGGAGTCAGCTCGGTACTAAGTACAAGTGTTCTTAGCACTGAAGCACCAAGGCAGCCTGGAGACGACACCCAGGACATGTCTGTTAGCACGCTACATCTGTACGATCTGCATCTGACTCAGGTATGTGCGAAGAATTGACGTTTATCTAAAAAACAAAAATGGCGCAAAGAAAAGCATTGTAATGTTTTGGTGTTCATTAAAAATTTTGTGAAATCAATAAACTGCAATGAAATACAATATTTTTGGCTTACAATTTCGTCCTCAAGTCTCGCGCTTTTATTTTATAACTTTTATGTTTATTGAACTTTCCAACTGAAATATTTATACTTTCAAATATATAGCAACTGTATTAACTAAAAATCGCGGGTTACTCACGTGAACTGAAAAAAATATAGCAACTGTGTATACCAAAATAAAATAAACAGCTCGGTGATACAAAAATCTTATCCCTTATTTTAGGAATTGGCAAAATTACCTTTGCTTTACATTTGTCGATTACAGAAAAGAGTGTAAATCCAACAATTTCTAGGATCCCCAATTTAATAGAAGTTGTAACACGCCGCCTTAGATAATTATTAAGTTGGCACCATTGCACGCGGGAATCGGGAGTACCATTCCCCCGCCCTGCTTCGACCCCGCACGCGGCATCGCGAGCGAGCGCCGGGGAGTCAGTCCGCCGCCGCTCGCCATCGCGTGATGCATTGTTTATGTTATAAAGTATATTTATTGTAACATTCCAGGCGGGTCAGAACGTGTCGTGTTGTACGAACAAATGCAGCGAGCGACCGCGGACGGGCCGGTGGGACAGCGCGGAGGGCGAGGACACGCCGCTCCTCCACCGCCCATAACACCGGTGCTCACTGTCTCCGCGTGGCGTCAAGTATCCCGTCTGGGTATAGACCACCCACGCTATTTAGACAGTCGCTTCACAAACCTATTCGTAATTTTAACGCCTTTTTTCTACTACCAGTACCTCTATCATGACTTTAAAGCAATAATACTTGTCTTTGTGTATGGTAAGTTCTACAGTGGAACTGTCTTAGTAATATTATAAATAAGAATTTGAATTGGTTTGGTTGTTACTCAATCGCGTCAAAACGACTAAAGGGATCGGAATAAGATTTTGAAAAGTGGTATATTATAGTCTGGAGTCAAATATAGGCCGCCGAAGATAATCAATAGATTGCTATACAAAAAATTACCTCGTCTATTAATCTAACTATTAACTATTGCTTCAACTCATGGTACAGGTACAGTTTGATTTTGTTTGTTCGTACACATGTCGTAGCGTATGTCGTTTAAGCATATCGTTTACGCTTTGTCTATTCACCCTACAAGCGTTTCATAACAAGCTTCCGCTATGCTTGTGTGCGAACAAAGATTTTTATACGGCATTATATACATGACATAATCTTGGCTTTTCTAATATGATTGGACATAAGACTTTTAATATTGCCATAGTGTTCTTGTGCCTCAAATTATATTAGTCAAAAGTAGTATGTATTGCGTACAATGCCGTGTACTTTAATCATCATTTTTATTGTATCATTTATTTGTATTTAGGTATAAGTACTTTACGTTTTGTGTCCAGTTTGTATCGACTCATTCTAAAAGCGTGTGGTCAGTCTGTACTGGGCGACTGACATAGTTTATAGTGTTTATTAATTTTGAGTAAAGTTGTCCAGAATATTTTATTGTCCCTGACACTGAAAGCAATACGCCCTTGAGTCACAACTTCGACTCACTTTGCTCAAAATTAAGTGTCAGTGGGAGAGAGTACCACCGTGGGGCATGTTGTCATCGATTTGTATTTGAGGACACTTTAGGTAATTATTAGATATAGAACGCACATTCTTTCGTCTCGTTTGAGACTCGTATGCATCTTTACAGCACGACAGGTCAGCGCTGGCTCGTCATTTACGAAGTGCGACCTTGCGTCACTATATCTAGTACTGGACAGCGTATAATTTGTTCATTATGATCATTTATATTTCTTTTAGTTTGCATGGGAACAATGTGTTAGTTATATTTAGGTTATTTACCATACAATTAGCGTGTGCTAAAATTTTTGTTCAAGTTGAATTGACTCCACTGTACGACACGAACACTACGCGTGTCTCCTCGCATCGAACACGTTCGCTTCGTAATACACACTTCACATATTGTTAGCTGTTATAGTCATAAATATATCTAAAACTAAAAGCAATAAATATTTAAGGTAAATTCATAGTTATATACAGTTGCTCCAGTGTATCATATGGAATATTTTCTATAGTTAATATTTTTATAGTCATATCATAGCCTTACATAACCTAAATAGTGCAATAGTACAATCGTTTTTTGAAAAAAGTTTAAAGTACCTGTCTTACGGATCTCTAAGGAATTGCGAATGGGCAGGAGCTAAGATGGCTTTCGTTCAAACATATAGTACTTAACTCGCTGGTCGAAAAAGCAAGCACGATTACCGAACTGTCCTGAGGTCTACGAGTCAGGTACAGTACTTTTCGTTGCCTGATTGCCAGTCGAAGAGATTATATATAATATGATAATTCCGCCTAACCCTTTGGGGAATAACCGTGGCTTTATACTCCAGATTTGGTATATTTGTTATATAGCAATATAGTGACTGTTGACAAGTGAAGTGCTTCTCATGCGTAGAGTAAAAATGCGCGCATTAAGTACCTGTCCGAAAACCGGCTTCTTACAACTGAAATATTAATTCGTCTTCCTAACAAGGAGACATTCAAAATAATAATATTTTATAGCAATTTAGAGTGCTTATATTATAACTTTCGTCAGACATACTATACTTATATTATGTTTTCGGTTTACTTACGTAATTATTTGACGAGGAACTCGACTAGTTTCAATCCATGCTAGAGACTCATAGCAGCATTCCGCTACCCGCGACGCGGATCACCGGCGATCACGTCGCGCTGCTGCTAGTCGAGTTCCTCGTCAAATAATTACGTGAGTAAGCCGCAAACCATAGTATTAGTAGAGTACTGCTTGTTATACGTATAATACTTTTATAAATATTTACATAGTATTTTTAACTATAGAAGTTGTTGCGCTCTGCTGTAGATATTATTTACCGGCTTTTATACAGCTGTAGGTAGAGCAGAGATATACATTATATATAATAGTAGTTATTGCTAGTGACAGAACACCATTCCGATTACGAATTATGATAGAAGCGCTGGATGCGTATTTTACCAAAACCAGCGATTGTAATTTAGGGTATCTTTGGATATTTAAGAAGTTATTGAATTTTATATATCTATATAGTGTTTATTATATGAAACCAAGCAAATGCCTAAATAAGATTGGAATACTTGACGTATACGTGGTTATCATACATAAATGGTCATTTCATGGGGAATTCAGAAGTCTGGATGACCCCACACATATAAGGCCTTACATAAATATGCTGTGTAACGCTCACTATGAACTTTAAAAAGCCATCTTAGCCCCTACTTCTTTTAGTATAAGATGTAACTAATTATTACAAAAATTACCTTGACAGAGTGCCTAAAAAGATAAAAATACCAAAATAGAACAAGTGACCTTGTATCACACTGTGTGTGGTGCGTATAATATATTATATTCCTATTGAAATGAAAACGATTGTACATATTCTTTACACCTCACAATAGTTGCATATTTTGATTTATCATTTAGATTTAGACGGAGTATGACGGAATTAGCTTCAGTAAGTATATAGCAATTTACATCATATTGATACAAGTGATTTTTACATGAACGTTGACTAGGTTTCTGTTGCAAGGAGGGTCTTCGTATTCGAGCCTTGTGATGCACCGTATTCACAGAAACATAGTCACAATACATATTTGTTTGTTACTTGTAGTTACAGGCTAGCTAGATTACCGATATACAAGTGTGACGCATGTGGCATAGACAGCTAGAGCTAGTAGGCGTTTTCCTCAACATTGACTACAACAAGTGAAATGTTTACAGTTTTTCATACTGAAAGGAACAAAATTAATCAAAATGATCACAATTACAAAGCAAGGTACAAAAGTAAGATATATGTTAGTAGTGTTAGGCGTGATTTTGTAGTAATGTGAGTAAATCGTATGTAGTCTTATTATTAATCTTAATCAAATTACTAGGATAGCAATAATTTAGCCTCTTCCAGTTTTTATGCTGAAGTCTTTCTTCGACGCTAGAAATGTGTTGGAACTACGTTGTGTTCGTATTTTTGTTGATCTAGGAAAATGAGTTGTAATATCTATGAGCTTAAGTTTACATTGAAATGTTTTCCTCCTTTTTGAGAAATTAGCTATAATTAATGTTTTATACTGTCCCTCCAATAGCCGTCTTATATCTTCGTGTTTGTCATTATACAGTTATTTGATATTAAGTTTTGAGAATGATATGTCACATTGGGTTTCTTGATACGCACAGTTTAAATATCTGTAGCTTCTAATGTTGGACAAAATATGTGATGACATTGTACCAAGTTCCTAATTTGTAAGATAATTTGAACAGATTCTTGTAAGAGATTGATTGAATTGGTTCAATAACGATATTACAAAGATTCAGTCACTCGTGAAATTGAAGCCTCGGGATTATACTGTTGCGATTCTTGTTAAAGTTCATTATAATTAGATGTAATAATAATCTTTGCAATGGTTGTAAGAACGTTTATTAAAGTATTATTACCTATTGAAGTACTGTATTGTACCAAGATCAGTTTACACGTTACTGTTGTATGGTGTAAATAATTTTACATTGCATATGGCACATGCCACAGGTTATTATTGCCATAATAGATATAGTAACCAAACAGGCGTGGCCACAGCCAAGAATAATTGAAGGTTATAAAGAAAACAAAACACTTCGACCGTTGCTACAACAAATTAAACATTTCTTATGACTTAAACCATTAATCCTCTTCCTATATTTAACATTTATTTGAAAAAACGTTATTGTCAGGCAAATGTTGTAACTGAAATACGATTTGAACTTTATCAGGTCACATGGGCGTCACCAGGGTGTTACTAAAACTACGTCTTGTACTTTGACAGGACGACGATTTAAAAACCATTAAAAAGTCTTCCTACTTAGATGAAATATATTCAGCTAGCAGACTAGCAATAGATACCGAAACCCAAGTGCACGCTTACACGTTTTCATTAAAAGTTTTATATATAGTAAACAGATATTATTATATTATATAGTATGCTATATTTTATACATAACGAACGCCGTATTTTTATAGTGCTGTTAGAGTTCATGAATAGCTAGTTAAATTGTAACTTATATTTTTCATATACATACAAAACATAATATTACATTTTATCAACGTAGAATCGAGTCTACAATTCTATGTGCACGTTGCAAGTCTGTATTGGTAACTTGTGATAATTGAACTTATGAGTGTTATTTTAGAGTTTGGTTTAGTTGTGAATGTTCGATCTCTTGCTTTCTTTTTGCCGCTCGGGCAATACTCAGACATAATCTGTAGACTTAGTATTTAGAATTTCGTAAACTAAACTTCCATTTATAAAAAAATGAAAAAAAAAATGCATAATATTATCTCCCATTTAGGTATATATAACTTTTTACTCCTGATATGCTTTACTATCCGATACTTAACATGATTTATCGATAAACTCACCACGTTTTGGAACAGGGGTTAATTGAAATACATGTTTATACAGATTATTATGAATGTAAACCGTTACCTTAGTTTATAATTAGTTTTAAATTATACTAAAGTCATTTAGTAGTCGTGTGTGAAAGTATACTTTTATGATTTTTTTGTATGTGTTATGTGTGTAGTGTTGCATTTAAACCTTACAGTTAGTGCAACAAGGTTTAAAATGTAGTGTTTTAAACTGAAACTGTAGAGTTTTAATGCGGTACTGTAGAACGTGTGTTAGTTAGTACTATGTAACGTACGTCGGTACGTCCACGTGTACGTTCTAATTCGATTTATTTGGCGATTGGTTTCACTAAATTGCGGATGTCCGAGAAAAGGCCAACGTGGCCTTCGCCAAATTATATTCATTTCAACAGGGCAATCGCTATTAATCCAAAATAAAGTACCAGACATATATCTAAAGGTTAAAATTAATTGAAAAATCTGATATCACCGTTTTCTAATTTATTGGAATATATCAATAATGCATATTACGTCTCTGAAGGTAAAGTCCATAAAAATGATCGAAACTAAATCATTCTCCAATGAAAGATGATATTTATTTGTTCTGCAGTTTTGAGGCCTTGTTGTATATTTTTAAATCGATTTGATTTTTATAATAATCTTAGTTTACTGTCTGATATTGTAAAAACTGACGTAGAAAATAGTATTGTATTGTAAGGAATATGTAATATTTTAATAAAAATGGCTTATTTTCGTAAAAGCAATTTAAAATTATTAGTATTATAAATTTTAATAAGCAACACATCATTTTACCTCGCCTATGAATATGCACCAATTAAAATTGCCTTTAAATTATATTATTGCCAATGTTATGGTCTATACTGTTAGAGAAGAAACAAACGTCAGGAAAGCAATGCCTTATATAAAAAACCTGTAATAGATTGTTGATATGTTATGGTCTGTTGTTATGTTATGGTGTTTGTACGGGTGCACTCGATAACGGCTTGGTTTGCTAGAAGAAATAGCTATGTGCTTGTTCACGTAGCAATGCGCGGGCGCGTTATAAGTTGCGAGCATGTGATCACGTTATCCGCCAGGAGTTTGCGCGAGTGCGTTTTTGCGATAAGTTCAAACTGTTTGAACTTACCTGACGGCGTGAGTGAATCGTTCCGCCGCGCCGCTGGTACAACAGGAACACAAGTCTTTAAGTATTTTATCACCGCTGCGGACCGCCAGTTGCCAGACTGCCCGCTACTTACACCGCACCTGCGCTCTGTGAACACTTAGATGTCGTGTCACATGTTTAATATTTCGTGACGGCGTCTGCGACCGCGCCCGCGAGTCAATGTAAACAAGCGCTGAGTTTGTAGCGATTTTAAAATGCTTCTGTGGCTTTGGTATGAATAAGATTGCGCGGCGATGTAACGAGTGCGCCCGCGTTCCCAACAAGCACTTTTCTTTATTGGTCGTTAGCGCACACCACTGTGATAAGTTGAACTTTTAAATAATTCGGAACGGCAACCTGATTCTATTTAATAAAGGATAAATATTAATAAATACTCAATCGCTCAATGTGTGAATCCGCCGAAAAGTTCGATATTTACATATGTATGTACCCAGATCTGTGTTGTAAAGCTGGACGTGGTTTGTGAAATTTATAAGACTAGATTACAACAAAGATTTTTTTTATCGAATGCTAATTTGTAAATATTATACAACGATATATTTGTTATACTTACTTAATATAACTTTCGTATCTTTGTTCGTAAGAACTTGACACTCGCATAAATATCTTTGACGAATTGCAACTGCTTATATTGTGGAATCGTATAAGTTTATATTTTTATTTTTATTACTCCGTGAGTTAGTACAGTACGGGCAGTGCAATTCGTGACGGGACGTGGCAAGTTTACACTCCAAATTTAATTGGTCACTTATCCTATTATTAATTGATGCCAATAATTTTATTTAGCCATGACAAATTCGATAAATATTTCTGTCACATGATATCTTAAAACCACATCCAAATTATCAAAAATGTATCAATAACAACTGAGTTCTGATACAGAACAAATTGCCCCTTCTTCCTATGGAACTCGTTATATTTGTGAACCTTTTGCTTTAATCCGTGGATTGCGATAAAGCCTATTTCTCATGTTTAAGTATAAATTTCTTAGTCGTTAG